ACACTGGAGCTGTTTGATTCCTGTCTCTCTTACCTGTTAAATCCTGTGTTTGGTCACAACATATGGACTCTGTCTGCAAAACATTTTTAAAATGCTGTACTGGCACCTTGCTGCAATCTGCCAGCACATTCCTTAAGGGCCAGTTAGTCCATACGGTGCTGCTCAGTTTTCTTTTAACTCTATTTTGACTGGAAGTGGTTTCAAGTTGTTGCTGCGGCTTGTTTCCTTCAGTGCTGCAAAATCACCGGCAAAAGGGATCTCTGGATGTTGCAGTTTGTTACTATATGAACGGAAGATGAGGATATTTTCTATTATTTACAAAGAGTGCTGGCTACATGATCAGGAGACCTTATTTTGGTTTCCGTATAGCCTCCAAATCATGGTGTCCTATTGAACAAGTCACTTTATCTTTCTGAGTCTCTCTTTCTTCTGTAAAATGAAAACTCAAAACTAGAAGATTAAGTATATGATCCAGTGATTCGACACTTTATAACTACCAATTTCTTTTATTACAGCAACTTATTATCATCCCAAAGTTAGAATGCTACACAATTATTGAGGAGGAAGAGAGAATAAATGTAATTTTAATTAGATCTGCAGATGGAAATACACAGGGAAGTTTTCCCAGTAATTATGTGACTGTGTCTTAATGGAGATCAAAAGAGTTTCCTCTTTGGGAAGTGTGAGCTAATACACCCACAGATGAATGATTAGAAACAGGGATATTTATACTAGATGGGAAGTGCTGGGAAGCTGAGTTTATCTCAATACCCAGAGGTGAGATGTAGGCAGCTGAGGATGTGCAAAAGAACATATAGATTTGAAATATTCCCTGTTGGTGATGATGGAATGATCACGTTAGAAGTCTAGGATTGCAATCTATGAATACACACACACGCACACGCGCGCACACACACACACATTAAATCAGCCTGCCTGTTTACCACTCAGCCTTCAAATGTCTGATTAGATCTTTATGTACTTCCTTGTCACTGCCTTGGAGTGGATTCCTCCTACTCATAGCAACCGTAGAGGACAGAGTAGAACTGCCCCATAGGATTTCCAAGGCTGTAAATCCTTATGGAAGCAGAGTGACACATCTTTCTCCTGCACAGTGGCTGGTGGGTTTAATGTTTTAGTTTGCAGCACAGAGTTTTGACCACTGTGCCACCAGAGCTCCTGTCTATATACTAGCAAGGCCTTGATAAACACAGATCATACATAACTGATCAGAAGGGGAAAATTCAGTCATATGTTTAAGGCTGGGCTGGAGTTTGAAGTTCCACTTCTTACACGTGCGTATGCACACGTACACACACACACACACACACGGGCCACCAACAAGGAGAGAGCTGTAACCTTGGCCACTTCCCAGACTCCTGCTGGTGGTGGGCAAACCACAGAATCCAATCTGTGCCTGAGACCCTTGTATTTAACTAAAGACACCCAAAGCAGTTTAAAAGACATTCTAGCTACAGAGGAGTAAGTCAGCAAGGCTTAGGATTGAAAGCTAGATCAGCCCAGTGTTATTGGACTGAGTCTTTTAATTTTTGTGGAGAGAATCCTAGCAAAACAAATGGCTTTTGTCTCCCCTCAGCCTTCTCAGTTTGCTCAGCCACCTGAACTCTGGGCAAATGGGTGGACATTTCAGAAAAGAGAGGAAAATAATGATCCTAAGCGAAAGCCTAGGTCCTAGTTGTACCTTTGCCTCTTAGTCATAGGCAACTGCTCTTAATGCCAGTGCTCTGGGGAGCAGGTGATTCCCACTCCAGCCCAGTGATCTAGGCAACAGCCAAGCGACGGTAACCAGGGTTCAGAGCCATCTCTGAATTGCACTCCCCCCATTTGAGCACCCAGAGGCAATCTCTAAATTACACCCCACCCCTCAATTTCAAGGTGAATAGCTGTTAATAGCAATGGTGACCATCAGCAGAAACACCTTCACCCTCTTGTCCAGTTGCCTCAGTCAGGCTCCTTTCATATTTGGTGCCTCAGAATGTCTCTTTGTGCCTCTAGCACCTCCTTGAACTTGTCTGTGGCTGCAAGTGACTCCTTCTATCGTCCCTGGTGTTGCCTCTGGATGTCTGTGGTGCTGGAGGAAGGATGTTAGGGAGGATGTTGTGCCTAACCAGGTTAACAGAAACTACTCAGTGGCACCCCCCTTCAAGTGGCACCCAGGACACTGCCAAACCTGCCATACTTTAGATACACCTTTGGGTCTAGGGGATGCCAAGCAAGGTCAGAGGCTAGTCTGTAAAGGCGGATGTTTACTCCAACCCAGTCTGGTGATTCCCTTTGCTTTTGATAACCTGGTCTTGACCATTTCTAAAATCAACCAAAAACAAACAAACAAACAAACAAACAAACTCACTGCTTTTAAGTCAAAGTCCCTACCATATTCTGACAGCAGAAAAAGGGGATGCTGTTATGCAATGTTCCTTTCACCTTCCCCACTCAACGCTTCTCTAAGCCACCAACCACTGACCCTGCCCCAGCACACTATTTGTCCTCTCCCCCGACCCTTTTCACACTCTGTTGTTTCCAGACCCGCCCAGGTGGAGTCTCCAGAGGAACACCCTTAGAGCAAGTGCTTCTCAAACTTAAGCACAATCCTATTTACTTGGAAGGCTTGTTAAAATAAGGTCTTTGAATTGGTACATTCCAGTTTGACCCCCTGCTGAGAATTTGTATTTCTAACTCAGACATGCTGAATCGGAATCTATAGCTTCCCATGTGTGTATGTATATATCTTAATCTTAAGCATACTTAAGGATTTTCTGGGAATCTTGTTAAAAGATAGACTCTGATTGAGTACACCTGGGCTGGAAAGCAAATTCTCAGCAGAGGGTCAGCCCAGAATGACCCAGTTGGAAGGACTGGTTAAAACAAACTCTTGGGCTCATGCGCAGAGTTTCTGATTCAGTAGATATGGAGTTGTATGTTATTGAGTGGAAACCGACCAATAGAGACTCTATAGGACAGAGTCTCGGGTAGCATAGTGTCTAAGCCACTTGACTGCTAATCAGAAGGCTGTCGGTTCAAACCCACCAGCCACTCCTCGGGAGGAATGTTGGACAATCTACTTCCGTAGGGATACCGCCTCAGAAACCCAAGGAGGGGTCACTATGAGTCGAGTCCCACTCAACGGCACATAACAACAGCAACATAGGACAGAGCAGAATTGTCCCATAGGGTTTCTAAGGCTGTAATGTTTAGGGAAGCAGATTGTCGTATCTTCCTCCGCAGAGTGGCTGTTGGGTTCCAACCACTGATCTTTAGATTGGCAGGCCAGCGCTTAACCACCTCATCACCAGGGCTCTTTGGTCTGGAGTTGTTGTTGTTGTTACTTGCCATCTAGTCAGACCCGGACCCAACTCATAGCGACCCCTCCTTGGGTTTCCGAGACAGTATCACTACGGAAATAGATTGCCCAACCTTCCGTCCGAGGAGTGGCTGGTGGGTTTGAACCGCCAGCCTTCTGGTTAGCAGTCAAGTGCCTTAGGCACTATGCTACCAGAGCTCCCTTGGTCTGGAGTAGAGCCCGATAATTTAAATTTCTAACAAATTCCCAGGTGATGCTGATGCTGCGAGTTTGGGCCACTGCCTTAGAAGGTGCCGCGCGCCTGGCTTCTCTCTTTATTTTCTTCTCTCCTGTCTTTACTTCTGCCATTTCCCCTTCCGTGTGACAGATCCCTACTTGTATGCTCTGTAACGGTTCCACTTTCTGAGCAGATAGGAGGGATGTGAGAGGAGATTGCTGGCCCTCCCCAGCCCTGCACAGCTTCGCCCTCGCCGCCTTCATTTTTTTATTTTTTTCCCCACCACTGTTTTCCTTATCACTGTTTTTTCAGCCGCTGCACTCTCGTTCTCTTGATGGTGAATTATTCATCCACCCTCTCTACTCCTCGCGTCAGGTGCAACCTTTTGCGCAACTTTGCAGCGGTGGCCCGCCCCTCCGCATGCCTCGGGAGCTCAGTGGCCTTCAGATAAGCTCCCGGGGGCAGCCCGCACACGCCCCCGCAAGCCAGACCCAGCCTGGGGCGCTGGGACTATTCAGGGCGCCGGCTGTGCGCTGCGTCCGATCTGGGTGAGGCGGGGGTGCTGGAAGCTCATCTGTTGAGGCTCTGGGCGGCGAAGCCCGGAGGGGGGCGATCGCAGCGTCAGGTGGCCGCTCTGCGTCCCTAGGCGCCGCTGGTCAGTCCCTGCTGGGTTCTCAGCCTCATCCGGAGCGGGCGCCCCTCAGCACCTCTAGCCCGGCCGCCGCGTCCACCGGACACGCCCCCCCCCCCCCCCGACTGCCCATTGATTGCCCTCCCAGCTTCCCTGAGTGTGACTCGGCTGCCTCTCCTACTTGACAGCCCCACTGGACAGCAAGCGCTTGCCTGGATCTCCCGGAAGAAAGGAGCCGCCACTAGGCGCACAGCCGTGCAGAAGTTGTGCTTCGCTGGGCAGCTGCGATCCAGCCGCGCGGGAGGGCTGGAGTAGGGGCAAGGGGAGAGGAAGGCGCAGCACAGGGGTCTGGATCTGGACTTAGAGGGACTGGGAGAGAAGGGGCCTGCCCACTCCTCCTGGTCCCCCGGCCCCGGGGCGCGGGGCAGGGGGAGGAATGCTGAGTCCGCGCGGAGGCGACCGCCACCGCGGCCGCAGCCTCAGCAGCAGCCTCAGCATCAGCACCGGCGGGACAGCGACAGCGGGGGCGGCGCAGGCGCACTGTGCCCCGCGGAGCCTGCGGTTCCCGAGCCCCGTGTGCGGCACCGCCACAGTCTGGGCAGCGGCGGTCTGGGGAGCGCTACTACCATGAACTGCCTGGTTCTCCTCCCCAGAGCTGCTCATCCGGGTCGGGCTCGAGACACAGTCAGGGGACCCCGCCGCCGCCGCCGCGCCCCCTCTTCCTTCGGCTCGATCTTCTGCTTCACCTTTTCCACCTCTTCCTCCACCTTTTCTTCCTGCATCCCCCCCTCCCCCGCCGCGGATCCTGGCCGCCGCTCTCCAGACCCAGGATGCCGGGGGGCAAGAGAGGGCTGGTGGCACCGCAGAACACATTTTTGGAGAACATCGTCAGGCGCTCAAGTGGTAAGCAGAGTTGCGGCTCGGAAACCCCACTTCCCTCTCGCCTACGCGCGCCCCCACCCTCTCCATCCCATCCCAAGGGGGGAAGGGGACGTAGGCAACCTGACCTGGTAGCTTCGGCTATCAGTCAGACCTGATTTGGGGTGTTTGGTTGGGAACTAGATGGTAATAGAGGAAAGTTAGTTACGTCTCATCTCCAAGAGGTACTCGCCCCCTTCCCACCTGTCCAAAGCTCTGAGGCGGAGGAAGCGAAGGGGGTCGGCATTCTACGTCTGAAAAATAGAGTTGAGTTCGCTTTGGTGAGGGCTATCTTTCCTGTTAGTCCCTCCACCACGTTTTCACCTCGAGTGGGAGTCAGGGACTGACCATATTATCAGTTAATGTCAGTGGAAGGCTTTCCCTCAAGCTGGGAATGGGTACTAAAGCGACTACTTGATAAAATGTAAGTCTCTGGAAAGACTTTCGGCCCCAGTGAGTACCGCTGGAGGGAACCTTGTGCTGGAGAGTGTAGTTGGAGTTGAATATGGAAGATAGAGCCGGTGCTTGAAGAAACAGCAATTACTAGGGTCAAATTTGTGTTTAAAGTTTCTTTCTTTTATATGCACTGGTCTATATGATATATTTGATTTGACTTAACAGGAGAAATGTGGAAATGAAACAATAGCTACTGATATTAAAGAAATGGGGGAAAAAAAAAATCCAAGAATGCCATTCTACCTGATATTGAGGTTTTCTCCTGCCTTAAAGTGTTTTTAAAATACCATTCATTTTTGTATTCATTTCCTCCTAGGTATTTGGGATGAGAATGGTAATTTATTGCTCACTCTAAGGCCTTATAAACTTTGAATTTTCTGAAACACACACCTTCCATTTGTTTAAGATTCTTTTATGTAGTTTTCAATTTCATAAGCAAAATATGTTGAAAATCCTATGAATCTGTGTTTCCTTCAGAGGCCTGCTTTTTGATTTTGAGATCCTTTGCTTGGAGAATTAATTTCTGTATATGGATTACAGTAGTGCTTGGGACAAAGTAGTGAAAATACTGTATACAGTTCCATCATTCAGTGTTTATTCATTCACTGGAACAAATACTTACTTGGTGCTTATATGCCAGAAACTCTGTGGGACCCTTGGATAAAAACATGATTAAGACACTTCCCCTGTCCTCAAGAAGCTCCTACCTGTGGGAGATACAGAGACACAATCAAATGATAAATAATTAAATGCACCATGCTTCCTCTGAGTTGTTAGATTATACTAATGCTTAGGTTAGCATCTCTTCTAGACCCAGGCTTGCAAATATTTTCCCTGACTTTGGGGCTATATATATTTAGGTGTCCCAAAGTGTTTTTCCTAAATCTCGTATTTGGTCATTTGGCTTTCATTTCAGACTTTATTTCTTCCACTTTGACCATTGTCTGACACTAAACAACTCAGGAGCAGTAGAGTGTTACATCTGGGTTGAAGAAGATCACTAATATATATATTTTTAAAATACTGCTCTCATATGTTTTTTAGTACTCATATTTTGGTCCCTACAATATTTTTCAACCATTCCAGTCTACCTCTTTCTTATGGAGATATAAAACGTAAATTCACAATGGTAGGAAATTTCTGTATTTCTACAAAAACTTGTATTAATATTATATATAGACCTGGAGTGTGAAGAGAAATTACTGTGAAAACAACCAGTTTGGGGAATTTAAGGTTTATTAGAATCATCTATTTAAGACGTGTTGTTGTTGTTGTCATGTGCCGTTGAGTTGGACCCGACCCCTCCTTGGGTTTCCAAGGCAGTTTCACTACAGATTGCCCCTTCTTCCTTCTGAAGAGTGGCTGGTGGGTTTGAACTGCCAGCCTCCTGGTTAGCAGTCAAGTGCCCTAGGCACTATGCTACCAGAGCTCCCATTTAAGACATAGGAGTTTTATTTCAGCTTTCTCATCCTCTTGGATTATTTCATCTGCATGCAATTTGGTCTGTGAGAAGACTTTCAGAAAATGCTTTAAAAAAATCAGCCCTGCAAGCTTGATGAAGCAGGTGAACCTGAGCATCATTAGGCTGGAGTTTACTAATGTAGCATATCTGCTTGAAACTTCTGGTACAGACTCCAGCTAAGGACCAGGTGTATATACATATATAAATTTAGATATACCATGAAACACAATTTACTTTACATAGCTTAGAAATACTTCCTTCTGTTGCCTCCATTTTACATCTACCACTTTAAGATCTGTCTGGCATCTAAGTATATTTTATCTTTTTTACACTCCATGCCCATAATGGCTTCATTGTTTGAAGGTTTCTTTCTATGGGGAACACTAAGTGGAAATGATAATGTACCTGTTTTTGCCTTTGAAATGCTACCTCTAATTGCCTGTGGCTAACTTTGAACACCACTGCTCAAGCATCTGAGCTTTGTTTGAAATGTGTTAGATATTTGTGTTGAGTATGTGCACATGTGTGTGCAATAAATACTGGAGACTCTCAGGGTCTGTTATAGGAAGAAACTTGGAGATTGGAAATTACAGGATGAAGTTGGTCTACATGTTCACGTGGAAGTGCCCTGAAGTTGTTACCATTTCTATGTGATTTGGCAGAGAAACAGAAACATTCATCATGAGAAATAGTTTAACTTAGGCTAAGAGAGAATATTCCCTTTAGAATTCTTAAAGATGGATCCCATTTGTCACAGTGGGAATTTCATTGTTCACTAACTTAACAACACAAAGTGAAGTATTGGCAGAGCTTCAGTGGTACAAGTAAGAAAAGGAGTCACTGCTCACAATATATTTAAGGATTGAAGAAACAGAATCTAGAAGTGTCTGTTTACCTCTGCCCCATAAAATGCTTCTCTTTCTGATGGTTACAACATCATTTTCTTCTTCTGAAAATATCAGATCTTATAGTAAGAGACAGACCAATAGAGAAACATACATGGAGAGAAGCACAGGGGCACATAGATAAACACTCAGATGGGCATCCAGCCAGACCAAAGACATACAGAGAAACATACAATGACTCTCCCTTTCTCTTCTTTTTTTTCCTCTGTCTCAACATACACAAAGAGCAAAAGAGAGATGTAGAAAGAGACAGAAGTATACACATACACACAGACAATAGGTATTCAACATAAAAGAGAAATGGCCATAAAGAGACAACATCAGACATTAATTTGTCCATAGATAACACTGATGAACTGAAACCTCAGCCAATTAGGAATCCATCAGAGAACTTGAGGATGTAGAGCAAAAGAACAAGAAGTGTGGTCTATGTGAGAACAGTTTTTAAACCTGAGGATTTTCTAATAAAGTTCCAAACTCTGCACTTGTAATTTTGCAGAACAACAGTGGTGGTTTCTGGGCCCCAGAGTAGCAAGTATCGTCTTCATGCTGCTATTTTACACCTCTTGGGAATGGATTTTTATTTAACTTATTTAGTTGACTCAGTCTGTTTTGGGAAAGCATTATGAGTTGTTACTGGTGATTCAAGTCTATAAAATAAAATAAAGATACTGAGTAGGATGGAAACACACACACACTTTATAGCCAAATCCCGAAATAATAGTTGCAGGGAATTCCTCTGTAGTTTTAAGATAAAATACAAGATTAGATAATTTTTAGACATAACAAGGAATTATAATCATTCTTAACATGTGGTTCCAGTAAATATAGACAGCACATTATTACTCCAGACATTGTAAAAGTCAAGAGTATCAATATAATAGGAAAGTTTAGATAAATTTTTGGTTGGTTAGGAAGGGAGTTTGGGGAGTAACAGATGAGTTCATTCCATCTCATTGAGGTCTACTGGAATGCTCTTGCTCCAAGCATATGCTGAATAGATCTGGCTCCAATGGGCATCTTCCTTTGTTTAAATTTCAATTATTTATGCATGCTCTTTATCAGTATAAATTAGGCTGTAGGGAGCGGTAGACTTGTGGGTTCCTGAAAGAAAGCAATAGCTCTTAGAACATTTAGGTGGAATTTTATTTTGAAATTAGACAGCATGCTTTATTCCTATTTTGTCTTTCATTCTTTGATGAATAAGCAGAAATAATTAGTTTGGATGACAGTAAATTAAGCTGCCATTTTGAAAAATTATATCTATGAAAATGTCTCTTATTAGAATTTAATTATTAATATTTCAAACTCTAAGATCAGTTATTTATGAAAAACCAGAAGTGTTTTCCTCTTTGAGGAAAGAAGAAAATGGAAGATAATATTTTAGGAACCACTTCACTTTCAAAAGAAGCTCTATTCAATTTTCCATTTTTCTTATAACATTTGTGTTGAACAAGGACTTTCTTTATCCAGCCATTTCTTACTTACAGGAAACTCTAGAATTATTTTCGTGCTATAATTAAAAATCCATTGCTGTGCAGTCAGTTCCAACACATAGCAACCCTGTGAGGCAGAGCAGAACTGCCCTGTAGGTTTCCACAGTTATGATCTTTACAGAAGCAGACTGCCACATCTTTCTCCCGCAGAGCAGTTAGTGGGTTGCAATGGCAGACCTCTCAATTAACAGCCAAACATAAGCCACCAGACTCCTTGTGCTATAATTACTATGTGTAAAATCTGAAATCTCAAAAGACAGTATGTAGGAGAGGAAACAGGGAACTAATGATTTAAAAACAAAAGTATTATGCAATTTAAAAGAAATGGTGGAAGATGAGTGGATTTTGTGTGTGTGTATGAAGTTATTGATATTTTTTTCTTGAAAGGGTTTCTTTAACATCTGAGTCACACTATTCAGGAAATATTGGTTTATTCAGGTCTCTTAATGTACTGCTTTTATTTTTAAAATATCACAGAGGTTGAAATTATACTGACTTCTCCCTAGATTATCTTTATAAATGAACCAGAGGATGGCCTCTTATTTTAGGACCCCACACAGTATTATAGAATGACGGCAGTACATTGCGAACGAGAATAGTGCTAATCCAGGATACTGTGTCTTCATTAGAAATTGATCTTTGTCTATCCTCTACTTGATGCCAGAT